TGTTCTGAAAGTTCGGCAATAACAAATTTTTCTATCTTCCTGTGCTAGGTTCCCTTATCTTATCAGTTGCTCATTTCTTTTTTAGTTTTCTGTTAGTACATGTTTGCGGCAACCATACCCTCCCGCCATCTCTTGGTCGCCTTCTCATTTGCGAACGCACTGTGTCCTGCCTTCCTGGGGCTTACTCTTACTTGGCTCTCCATTTATAACTTTGGCGTGGCTGGCGCCATGTGATAGCTACACCTGTGTCCGATTTATCTCACTGAACAGCACGACCTCGAGGCGCAGCTGCTTTCCCACCAATGACTCGTTTATCCTTCTTTACGTCAGAATAGTACTCCACTCTGTGTAGATGCCGTGCTTTCCTCTTCCATTTCTGCAGGGGAATATTGATGGCCCTTTTAAAAATTCCAGGGTTGAATCCAAAAGGATTGGGATACAACAGAAATCATCTGTTTACAGAGGAAAATGAAAAGCCATTGTCATTGAGGAAGTTCCCCAAATTCAATGGTGTGATCATTCCTGTATTACACTGACGCAGCCACTCGCGGTGATTTGTGCAGCCAGCCCTGCTATGTCCGCTGTCATAGGATCGTCACACCCAGTCATTCATCACCTGACAACAGGAGACACTACATTCCTGGGATAGAAAGAATGCATTCTTTGTGGTGGATTTTGTCAACTGTATATTCCAAACCCAGCCTTCTATTTTGATAACATTATCTAGAAGTTTTTCAACTAAATCAGAGAACCAATATATCTCACACTCCCTTGAAGCTGAAGAATACAGCTCTGAACAAGGGGGAGCAATCCCAATCCTACTGAGTGAGATTTCTGGGGATGTGACGCCTGGACCCCGGTCCTGGGAGCTTCCGAGGGCACGGACACAGGGCCAGAGAGGGACACTGGGATGGGAAAGAAGCTGGCTAGCTGTGCAAGGCAGAACAGAAGGAAGCTGGGCTTCTGTCGAAGAAAGGGAGTGTTGCTCTTCCACTTCTGCAAAGAGCAAAACAAGTCCGTAGTTTTGTAACTCAGGATTTCTTGGGTTTGCTGTTGTCTGGAGCCAAACATTTACACAAGGGATGCAATCATGCTTAGATGCATGTTGCATGACTAGATTCATACGATCAACTGCAAATCAGTTTCACCCTTAGCTACTTGCTTATAAATTATAAAACGACATAAATGAGATTTACTATTTTTTCCAATTAAATGTGTTACTAAAAAGAATATTTAACTCACATCTTCTGAATATTAGAAAAATGTATTTGAGTACTAGAAATCTGCTCCTGATGGATAGGGCTATTGACTATTACGTAATATGTACCCTAAAATTGATTTAGCATTTTCAATTTAGTGAACAATGGCTCTGCTAACATAAGGACTACATATTCCATTACTCTACTGTAAGGCAAAATTTATTACTATTTAAAATTTATTACTATTTAATGAAGTCAAAAAATTTATTTGGGCCTACAGAAATTGTCATTCTTTATCTTGCCTGGATGTTTTCTGTTCCTGGCAATGAGAATGTATTACCTTTGTAATCAAGAGCAGTAAAGCAGATTTATTTTTCAAAGAAAAGATCTTATTGAAAAGTCAGTACAAGAAACTAGATCAAGATAACAACATGCATACACTGCTGTCTCCTTCCCTGCGAATCACTCTGTCAAGAGAGATCATTTGACGGGAGATCCGGAAGCTGCTCGATGTTTCCATTAGCACAGCGGAAACTGGGAGACATTCCTGGAAGACAGAGAGCCAGCAAGATGCCTTGATAAGGGCAGGAGGAAGCTCGGCCCGCGAGATGGCACAGGAGGAAGACGGTGGACGGTCACTGCTCACCCAGAAAAGGCCCAGCTCCCGGGGGCCGTGAAGACTGGGCAGCCCCAGCCCAGAAGACAGTGGCCAAAGCAGCTGGAAGGGCTCTTCTCAGCACAGGGGCCAGGAGACCACTTTTCCATGACAAGAAGAGCGGGTGACAGAGTGCCCACCTAGCCTGGTGGGGCTGCTGCTCTCCTGGGTGTGAGGGCAGTGACTGTGGACAGAAGAAAACCTTTGGGGTTTCCTAAGCAGATAAAGAGAGAAGAATATGAGAATACGAGAGAAGTTTGCTTTGCCTACTATAGAGGAACTAGGCCCAGTTCCTAAAGACTCCTGTTTGGCATCAGTACTTCACTTTGGTGTCTAAGATGAACTGCGACAACCCATTGACCTCACGGGAGCAGTACACACATCCACAGGGGAGCTCCTCAAAGAAAACGGCTCCACGCAATTGTACAGGAAGCAAAGTGCTTACCTGTGCCAACCCAGCAAAAACCCAGCTGTCCAATAAGAAACATTCACCAACATCCAAGAGTCAAAGTCAACTCAGCAACGGCACCAGGAAGAGTGACGTGACAGGCCATTCCCAGCACTTGGAAAGTGCTAAAGGATAGCACGATGGAAGGGCACTGTGGCCACGAGCGCCAGGGCTGGCCAGGGGCACATGAGCGCATGTGGCAAGTGCCCTCTGTGACATCCCTAATACAACGAAGACAGAAGGTGACAGGCAATTCCCACTGGAGACAGTCTTGGACCATGATTTCCACCCAACATCCTTGGCTACAGTTCAGGCCACCATTGATCAATATTGCAGTGAAACATATGAGAATCCTAAATCAGAGTGATTAACTAACCTACCCGGGGCAACTTATCCATACCTGCAGTAGAATATTAGCTTGCCCTTTTTTCTGTTACTCATGATCTCCAAAATGCCAAGAATCTTATCTAGAATCTTGCACAGAGAATAAATTTAGTAAGTCTTTGGTGTGTCATTAATGAATTAATTTTTAAAAATAGCTTTTTGGGGACAGGGTTTGGCTGTGTAGTTCAGGCAGGCCTTGAACTCACTGTGTAGTTCAGGGTGGCCTCAAACTCACCGCAATCCTCCTGCCTCAGCCTCCTGAGTGCTGGGATTGCAGGCATGCTCCACCCCCCCCACTCAGCTCAGTGCAGTTTATGATAGCAGAGCGTTGCAAAGGATAAAAGAACGGATAAAGTGCACAGCAGAGCTAGCAGTAAAACTCAGAGAGAAATAAGAGGAAACAACTAACAGCCCCAGAAGACCGCGCCTCAGAACTATGGGTGAGCTGGGACGCCAGCCATTTCTCGGAGGACCTGGGATGCTGCTCTGGAGCTTTCTGACCCATTCTCTTGCCCACTGAGTTAGCTCTGCTGTCTTTCATTTCTGTACCAGGTCGATTTTTCCAAACCCAAAGGCTGCCCCGCTACCCACAGGCCCAGCGCTGTGTGAACCCCTCCTTGGATTTGCTTACAGCCCGTAGGCCATTTCCCCGGCTACACTGCCCCCACAGAACTCGTGTCCCAGCCCAGTTTGGGCCCCTTCGCACAGTGCAGGTCACGCTCTGATCAGAGGAGCCGGCAGACCAGCAGGGAAGGCGCTCCCCCGGCCGCTACTGCATCTGTGCCACACTGCCAGCTTTGGTCTTCCCTTCAGCCCCCGCCTTGCCCTCCTGTGCCTGTGAGCCTGGGCCCCCACTCACCGGAGCCTCACTGACCCTGAAGACGTCCCTGACGTCCCTCACGGAAGGCTTGCTCTTCCTGCGCAGCGTCTGCGTGTAGGTGTGGTACCTCTTCTGCACTGCGGCCGCCTGCGTTCGCGTCAGTGTGGAGAGCAGGGCCTTGCCGTCTTCTTCTTCCTCCCCGGACAGCAGCGTGGACAGCCCCACGTCCTGGAGCCATTCTGCCTCCAGCTCACCTTCTGCAACACAGGGTGCACCGAGAGGGCTGGGACCCCACCCTGCAGGCCTGTGCCCACTGGGGGCAGCATGTGGCAAGACTGCCTCTCTGCCTAGGGTAGGCATAGAACAGGGCTGTAGGCATTTGCGCAAACTGACAATGTACTGCAGGCTGGCCTTGAACTCACCGCTAGCCAGGCTGGCCTCCAACACACAGCGATTCTCCTGCCTCAGCCTCCTGAGTGCTGGGAGGATAGGTGTGTACCACCATGCCAGGGCACTACTGTAATTTAAAAATAAGTCAAATTGTAAAACATTGTCTACTGGCGCAAGTTTGACTGGCAGACTTGGAAAGGCCAGCCTCCTTACCAGAGGTTAAATGTGTCCTCTCTAGACTACCAATTTCCAAGAAAAGATAAAATATTAAATACACCAGAGCTCTGGCAGGAAATGCATGCTTTAACAGACTGTGGCTGGGTCTCTCAGCGCTGAGGCAGGTTCCCACCCCAGCTGCTGCCATTCACCACCTGAAGGACTGTTGCACACGTGAAAATAGCCGCAGGCCTCAGTGTCCCCTCGGAAACACAGGCCCAGCGATTGTCTGTGCTTCTGCTGCCCGGACATCCACTCCTATCCCAGGCGAATCCTGCCAGGCCAGGAGCAGGCTCTACAGCCCCGCACCCGGTGTTCACGGCCCCACTGCCTCCATCCTGCAGTGCACCCATCGGGTTTCACCTGTACCCCTTTGTCCTATGCTTCTTCCTATGGACAGCCAGCTGCTGAGTGGGGCCACTGACCACACCTGCGGGGACTGTGCCAGAGACAACTGCATCGACACCTCTCAGTCGCCACCCCTGCAGGGAGCGGGAGCCTCCATCCCCTTGCCATGCCCAGCAGGAACGCCTGGGTGACACCCTGGGTCCCAGCGCAGGATCCAGCCCACTGATGGTATGCGGTCCTGGACAGTGCTCCCTCTTTCTGCGCCTTGGGCAGCACCCCCATCCCCATCCCTTCACTCCCTGGGTCTGCTCACTCCTGTGACTCCCCCAGTGCATGCAAACCTAACTTCTCTCCTGGTCAGGAACAAACTGGACATAGCTCAGACAAGTGCCACAGGGCACTGCCAGTATAAACAAGCTTCCTGCCTGAAGGTCACACGGTCACTCTGGGGCCACCTCCCGGGGTGTGAGGTCTCCCATAAGTGGCACATGGTGAATGTGCACAGTGACCACCCTGAGTGAGACCATGACACAAAGAAGAGGGACATGCAGCAGGAAAGCCATAACCAACTATAGGGCCGGGAGGCTTTCTTTTTTCTTCAATTTTTATTTTTACTCTTTTCATAAGGGTCTTGTTATACAATCCTGCCTCAGCCTCCCCTGCCCTAGAATTACAGGCGTGTGCGACCACGCCCAGTTTCTGGGCGAGCACAGTGCACCTGGAACCTGGCGCTAGGATGGCATGTGGTAAAGGGGATCAAACTCAGGCCCCTGTGCTTGCCAGGTAGGTGCTTAGATTGCTGGCTGAGCTATCTGCCCAGCCCGCGAAGTTTTCCTTTACAGCAATGTTATTTATAAACATGGCAAAGAATGTGGAAGAAAATGAGGTATTCAATAGCTGTCTCTATTCCGGACCTGGGATAATCTTCCTGTTTTCCAAAAGGCAATGGAAGCACCTAAAATTCATCCATGGGAATTAAATGCTGTGTAATCTGAGAGTAGAAAGGAAAGGAACTCAGGACAGCAGCACCAAGCAGAGCAGAGCCACTGAGTGTGCGTGTCTGGGCACGGGCTAAACGGGCTCTGCCCGACACAGGATGTCTGAAGAGGAGATTAGGGCAGCTGGTAAACACAGGTTAAGCTCTGGCCCAGGAGTCCGGGCTGCCTGCGTCCCAGCATCCACGGTCTGCAAAGCCCGGTAGTGTGCCTCGCTGGCCCAATTCCTCAGCTGGGCAAATATTTTATTTGTTATCTTGTTTTTATTATTTGTTTGCTTTGCAGGCTCCCCCTGAACAGAAAATGAAAGGGAATTTATGACACAGCTTGGAAGTCTGCCTCTGCTTAAGCCGTAGGTAAGGTTTTCATTTCTGAAGACAAAATTTATAAATACAGGTTCTTATTAAAGTATGGAGAACTGGAGCTTTTCTCTCTGCATCGAGTCAGGACAGGGTGGGAGGGATTGCTCGGCTAGTGTTCTCCCGCGCCAGGGCCGACTCAGAACACGTTTTCCAAGCTCGGATTGCCTGTGGCGGAGCCTGCTGGCCTCCAGCGTGCGCAGCTGTGGACAGTGCATGCCTGTGGCGACCCGAGCGCCAGGCGGGTCGCTGGACACGCAGCGTCCCTCGAAGCTCCGCTCCGCGCGCCTCGTTGCCTGCTCCGCGCCGACTGGGCTTTCTGAGTCCCGTCCTGTCCTACGCACCCAGCCCTGAGCCCGTGTGCTTCGCTCCTGACGCGGTGTCTTCCGCAGCGCTGAGCTTCCAACAAACAGAACCTCTGCCTAACTAACCCGGGAGCCTAGCTGAGGGGACGTCTGACTCCTCCTCCTCCTGCGCGTCAAACCCAGCCGTCGTCAGCACCGTCCTGCACTGCGTGCTCACTCCAGCGCAGACCCTGCGTCAGCTCCCCTCTATCCCCTCTCCAGGACTCTGCCAAGGCTAAATCATCTGTCGTGGGGCCTGCGACAAGCTCCCAACAGCTCTCGCTCAGCTGTTCTTTGTTCCCTCCCAACCTGTTTTCCACATGAAACTAGATCTGTCCTTTCAACACAATTAAAAATAACGCTATGACCTTTCCTTGCTTCAACCTGGTCTCCCGGTAGTAAGGCTGCCTACCTTCGCGGACACACCCCTCCCGGGCTCATCCTGCCTCCGCTGACTGCAAGGCGGGCTCACCGTGCTCCCCGGTGAGGCTAGACTGGCTTTGGGTCGCC